CAGTAAAGCCAGTAATGAGCGGCTCATTGACACAGTTTGTCTCAAACTCTTTTGTTTTCTTCTTGTCCTCATTCTGAGCTCATTGTTCTTAAGGAGGACGTGGAAACATCTCATTGTTTTCGGACAGTAATCAGGTTTTTACTGGGAAAACTGGAGAAGTTTTTTCAGTTGTCTGACCTCCAGCAAACACATAAAGGTTAATGGTTCTGAACCAGTATGGAGCGCCCAGAATGGGAAGAGCACTGAAGGGGAAAATCATTATTACAGTGTAAGATCTAAACTCGTTAAGTAGATTCCCAGGACTGAGAAATGAAGGAAATGCGATAATTACAAATATTAATAACCTTTGAATCAGAGCAGCCATCAGCTTTACTCACGAATATAATTCTATTCAGTTTATTTCTATATTCACATCATGTCATCTCAGGTCACTTTCCAGTTCACCAGATCATCCAGTCAGATTGATTCAAAGTTTTCTATCTAAGGAAAACCAGCTAATTGCATCGACTCATTGACTCTTCAGCAATCCCTCACACTAAGCATGCTTGTAGCGACAGTGGAGAGGAAAAACTCCCTTTGAACATGAAGAAACCTCCAGCAGAACCAGGCTCAGTGTGAGCGGCCATCTGCTGAGGCCCACTGGGGTTCAAGGAGACAGAAGCAGACATAGAAAAAGAAGCATAGATACAAAAGGCAACTGTCAACCAGCTCCACAGGCGGCCCCGTCCAGGAAACACACAGCCAGGCAGACGAGCTCCGAGCCAGCTCCCATGTCAGAGGATGAAGAGAGCACATCCAGTTAGTCACAGTCAGAGAAACAGGACTACACTGGAAAACAGGCCAAGCTCCAACATCTAGAAACAAAGGTGTTGATGGCAGCAGCACAGCTGATATTTCTCTCCAGGATGGAGTCACAGCCAAACAGGAACAGACCAGATGAAGCTACTATGAGAAAAAGCAGAGAGAGCAGAACGTTAGAGATTGAACTAACAGATTCTGCAGAGTGGGAGAATAGAGATAGAATGAAGCAGAATGATGAAAAAGGGGTCCCTATGTCCTCCAGCAGTCTAAGCCTATAGCAGCAGAACTATAGAGATAGATCAGGATAACCTGAGCCACTCTAACTAGAAGCTTTATCAAAAAGGAAAGTTTTAAGCCTAGCCTTAAAAATATAATATTTAATCATTTAAATGGACGAATCAAAGAACTGAGGAAACAGAAGATCTTCCAGCAGTAAAAGTTTTATTCTTAGAATTCTAATAACCAAGTCTGTGACGTCGGAGCTAAAACCAGATGATGGAAGGTTCCTCTCGTTTTCTGCCTTTCACTCCCCCTACCATATCATCAATCTGATTTTTCAGTGAGTGAGTGCTTGTTGCTATGATGCGTCTTTGCTCAGCAGCTTGGCTCGTTGTAAACCAACCAATCAGAGCACAGCTCATCTAAATATTCATGATCAAACCATAAAAGGAAGAAAACCTGTGGTTTCGTTCTAGGGCTTTTAACCAGGCTGCATTAGGGCTCATAGAACAGCTAATAGGCCATTTATAGCCCAACCAATGTTACACTAACCTGACAACAGCCAGATGCATGTCTCGCTCCGCCTTGCTCCACTCACATACATCTGGGAACCCGCCATAGGGATTGCCTTAAGTGAAGGCTGGGCCTTATCAAAACTCCTTGCATATGATTGGATAAGCCACTTGTCTGTCATCTTTATTGATGTGCTATTTCAACCACTCACACCGAAGCTAACCCGTGACGCTGTGAGAGGAGGAGCCATTTGGTAGATCAAGCTCTTGCCAAATCCGGTCGGGAGAAGGGCGAAAACATCGTTTCCACCAACAAAAGCCTTCAAAGCCGTTCTCTGATGTTCTTTTGATGAAACAATATCAGAAAGATTGGACAACACAGAAGAAATAGCAGCATCAATGCTAACGCTTGCTTCCTCAATGCGAGCCGCCATTGTTGTTGGAATCTCACGGTCGCTTCTCCACTCCAGGACACACCCGCCCTGCGTCCTGATTGGACAGACAATAAATTCGGTTGGGGAAATCACTTTCAATGAGCGGGTTCCCAGATGTATGTGAGTGGAGCTAGGCGGAGCGAGACATGCATCTGGCTGTTGTCAGGTTAATGTTACACACCCTATTAGAGACCTGCAGGACCAGATACCCTATAGAATCATTCTATCACCACTTTAAGGAGTAAAAACCGTCCAATAACCAGAGGCATGCAGAAAAAGATGGAATCAAGATGGAATGAGAAACTGAATCCAGAGAAGATTCAGATTCTGTTAGAGCCACAATGCTCCGCCCATCTCTGCCTGAAGTCAGTGATCCACTGGAACCTTTAAAGCTTTAATGGATGGATGGCCTTTAATGATCTTTCTGCTGAATTGGATACAGATCTAAAAAGCAGCAAGAAGTTCAGGAGTCGGGTTCTGCTGCAGAGCAGAACCTCTGAGCAGAGGAACGTCCTTCCAGGACCTGAACGACGGGCGGACATTTTCCACAGCTGGAAAATGGAAAACACAAAAATATAGAAGCTTCCGGTTCTGAGTTGATGTTTCCTGGAGCTGAGCTGTGATGCAATGGAGAGTTAAAGCATTCGTCCAATCAGAGGACGGTTCTCAGTCAGGAACCATCATCGTTTTTACTTAATCCGGGAATCCGGATCTCATCATCAGGCCCTAATGTAGCCAAACCTGATGGATAAAGACAGAAATGTTTTTGTTCTACACAGAAACATCTGTCTCCTTTAAACAATTAGCTGCAATATTATTTAAATAGAAGTTAGAAAGCAGGATTTCCTCCTAATTAAGTTCTTTAATGAGGTTCTGACTTCCTGTTCTTGGGTCATGTGACCCCTGGAGCTGAGGCTGATTCCCATCATGGTTTCAGTCGATCCTCGGAAAACGTTTGTTTTCTAAACACAGAGGAGACGTATTTTACAGTTCCCGGGTTTTCACGGTTTTATTGAGGATAAAGCTGACGCCTCAGCCCCGTCTGATCCAGTTGGACCCGGTTTGGTCCTGTTTAATAGAAGCCAGGCGGAGGGAGTCTGCAGCAGAGGAATGTTTGAGGCTCTGAGCTGCGGTTCAGATGAGATCTCCACCCAAACACTGAGCTGCAGCTGCTTCTGTTATTTCATCAAACACCACAGACTGACGGCCCGCTGCAGCTCAGTGTTGCTGGTTCTGTGAGGTTCTGCTGACGTTTGGACCCGACTGGATCTGTTGTCAGCAAAAATATGCTGCTTGTTTTAGTTTCCTGGTGACAAAATCTGGAAAAATGAGTTTGTTTTGACGACGTGGTTCATTTATTTTCTATTAAAATCTCAATCTTCTGGAAAAAGATTCACAAACTGAAATCACTGAAGAGAAAAACAGAAAAAAAAACTACAGGAAAATCAGACATAAAGAATCAAAGCAGCAGAATCAGAAGCAACAGATCCCAAATCTCCAGCTTCCAGAACCCATCCTAGCTGTTCTGTTCTAAATGTGCTGTGATCCATGGTTCTGTTCAACGAAACTGGGTCGGATCAGAACAAGCGAGTCAGCGGGGAACATTGTTTGTCCCCAGCTGCTCCTGCAGTCCGAGCTGCCATGAATCGATCGTGGCAGGCGATCAATAACCTGATCAATGCAGCCGCTGACACACACTGGGCTGCAGGGTCAGCTCACAGCTCCAACCCCGCCCTATAAGAACCACGCTGATCCAGAGCTGCTGAAACGCATCAGAGCGGTGGACCGGTTCCACCAGAACCTGGAGGCAAAGGCCTGTGCTGCATTCAGGCGCCTGCTGAATCTGTGGGTCAGCAGGGCGTCAGGCCAGAGCAGGGAGCTAGCATGCTGCTGCACCCTGCTGATGGAAAATATATGCTAACTATTGATCCAAATCTGCTTTAAAACTTTAAAATTATGCATTTTATAAATTATAATTTTATAGATAAAATTATGTCATTCTTTATCCTTTTTTTTAATTTAAAGGTTTCGTGGAGGGTTTTTCAAAAGACCATCCGAGAGCGTGCACGAGCCCATAAAGCTTCTAGTTAGAGTGGCTCAGGTTATCCTGATCTATCTCTATAGTTCTGCTGCTATAGGCTTAGACTGCTGGAGGACATAGGGACCCCTTTTTCATCATTCTGCTTCATTCTATCTCTATTCTCCCACTCTGCAGAATCTGTTAGTTCAATCTCTAACGTTCTGCTCTCTCTGCTTTTTCTCATAGTAGCTTCATCTGGTCTGTTCCTGTTTGGCTGTGACTCCATCCTGGAGAGAAATATCAGCTGTGCTGCTGCCATCAACACCTTTGTTTCTAGATGTCGGAGCTTGGCCTGTTTTCCAGTGTAGTCCTGTTTCTCTGACTGTGACTAACTGGATGTGCTCTCTTCATCCTCTGACATGGGAGCTGGCTCGGAGCTCGTCTGCCTGGCTGTGTGTTTCCTGGACGGGGCCGCCTGTGGAGCTGGTTGACAGTTGCCTTTTGTATCTATGCTTCTTTTTCTATGTCTGCTTCTGTCTCCTTGAACCCCAGTGGGCCTCAGCAGATGGCCGCTCACACTGAGCCTGGTTCTGCTGGAGGTTTCTTCCTGTTCAAAGGGAGTTTTTCCTCTCCACTGTCGCTACAAGCATGCTTAGTGTGAGGGATTGCTGAAGAGTCAATGAGTCGATGCAATCAGCTGGTTTTCCTTAGATAGAAAACTTTGAATCAATCTGACTGGATGATCTGGTTGAACTGGAAAGTGACCGGTTTTTCCTCTGCATCAAGATGTAATAAAAGATAAAAAGTAGAAACAATTAATTGAGAAGCTGAAAAAACTCAGAATAAAAAAAAAAAGCATTAAAAGTGAATACAGGGAGTAAAAATGGGAAAGAATAACATCTTACATTCAGCTTTGTAAAGTAAAGAAATCAACAGATTATAATCATAATCTGTTGATTTAATCTGTTGATATAATTATTAATTATAAGCTTTGTAAGGAATAGAAATATGGAGAAAAATTAGTTTAAAATAAATATTTAATTTAAAAAAAGGTAAAAATTAAACCAAAATCTGTCAGAAAAAATCCTTTAATTTTACAAACTGAAACCTGAAACTCCAGGAAATGATGAAATCAGCAGCAGGGTGTGACCCCCAAGGTGACCCGGATCCCTCACCTGTTCCAGAAAGAAGCTCCGCCCACAACCTGGGATCAAAGGAACCAGAACCTGATGATGGGCAGATAAAGATGCTGGAGAGAAAAAAATACTTAAAAGAAATAAACAATAATCAGCTGATTTAAACACTCTGCTCTGCACCTTCTCTCTGGACTTTGACTAGGCCATTTTCTGCCTTTAAATGATCCTTTCCAGTCACTGCTGCTCCTCATGAGATATTAAATAAAAGGCTTTGATGTTTTCTTTACAAAAAAAAAAAACAAAAAAAAACAGTTTTTATATTTAAAGTAAATAAAATCCTAAAGTTTCCAGAGGAAGAACCGTGAAGCTGCTCTACCTGTGGGTCCGGAACTACCGGAACCACCGGGACGGCTGGCACCGGCGGCTCTCACGCGCACAGGGCGCGCGCGCTCCGCCGTGCACGCGCCTGCGCCTGCGCGCGGCCCCGCGCTGCAGGTAGTAACTCCGCCCCCTCCCTTAAACACAATGCCGCCGCTCCGAGCCCCTCCGGCTCCGTTCCGTCCCGTCCGGGTCCAGACTCCGCGGTCCGGTTCCGGAGGCCTCCAGGTCCGGACCCACTGAAGGTTTTTCCTCCTCCGACCGAAGGTGAGCTGCTCCGCCGAACCTCGGGGTTCTGGTTCCGGCCGTGTCCGCTGCAGGACCTCGATGCTCCGCAGTCGGTTCCGGTTCTCCGGGTCCGGCCTGCGGTGCGGTCCGGCTCCGCTCCGGGCTCTTTGTTCCCGGGAAGTTTGCTGGAAGTGACGTCATGGTTCCGCTCCGGACTCCGGCTGGAAAACTGCGGATTTAACGCTTCGGTTCTGCCGGTTCTGCTCAGCCCGGGTTCTGGTCTCTGTGGGGTCCAGTGGGGGTCCCCGTGGGTTCGTGGGTGTTGAACTGTGGATGAGGAGGAGCGGTTCTGATTCGGATGTGGTTTTGGTTCCGTTCTTACCTGAACAAAGATCCAGATCCAGTCCAGCGGTCCGGATCCGGTTCCGGTTTATTTGCTCCATCAGAACCTTCAGAACTTTGATAAAAGTTATTTGAACAGAAAGTGATCAGAACCCGGAGCTCTACCGAACCGGCGGGTCAGAACGTCCATTAGAACCGTTCAGAACCCTGATGACCCAAAACTGCTGCAGTGGAGCTGAAGTCCCGGTTCTGGATGATCCGGATTAATAATCCGGATTAAAACTGAATTTTATCTAAAAAGGTCTGAAAAGAACTTAGAACTGGATCAGGTGGTTCTGGATTAAAGTCTGTTTACACTGAAACCAGGAGGCGGTTCTGATCCAAAACAAACGTCTGGAACTGGATCCTGGATCCCTGACCCAGTTCATCAGAACAGGAAACCAGAACCTTCAGAACCACAGATTTTCTAAACTTTGTTCTGATTAGCCCGCTGCGCTCGCCTCAGATTAGTGGGTTTGGTTCTGTTCGACCCGACATGGTTCTGTAGAATAAGAACCAAACAGAACCTCCGTGTTCTGTAGAGGTTCTGGAAGATGCAGCCCATGGCATCGATGGAACAGAACCGCCAACATGGCCGCCAACATGACCTCCACCGGGCTTTACCATCAGAACCAAACGTTGTGGGTTCTTTCACCCGTTGCTCAATCAGAACCTTTCCCTCCGAGGTGGGCCGGGTCTCTGAGGCCAAAGAAACCAAAGGGATGGATCAGAGGTTCTGGTCGTGGAGGTGAAAGACGGTGGGGGTCAGAATCGGACCTGGCTGTTCCACCAGCCATCCGGGTCAGCACTGGTTTCTGCTCGGTTCTGTTAACCAAGCAGAACTGGACCCCTTGGTTCCTGATCTCAGAGGAGGGGGAAGAAGCTGCTCCTCTTCCTCCTCCTGGCTCGATGAAAGGTTATGTAGAATCGGAACCAAACCTTCACCGTTTGCGGGTCGGCTAGCTGCTGGTGGTGAAACCGGAACCGTGGATCCAGCTAATTCTGATGATTCAGTTCTGATAATTCTGATAATTCAGTTCTGATGGACCAGAACCAGAAACCAAGTTCTTAGTTACTGATGGGTCCCTCATGACCTTTAGTCCCAGCCATGACACGGCCTCCACCGTGCTTCTGGACCTCCTAGGTATAAACCACTGACCTCTAATTATTCACTGGATTCCTGATTGGCTGAAAAAAGTGAAGCCTCCGTCCGCCATCTTGGTACTCCCCACTCCCAGGCAGTAAAATGCCTCCCTGTTCAGTATTTAGCTGCTAAAACCAGCAGTTTTCTGTCTGCAGGAAGACGTTCCTCAGGTCATTTCCCAGTCAGTGGATGAACTAAGCAATAAATCCATCTATAGCCGATGGATCCTTTAGTTTAGTCTGTAGACTAACATTAGTCTCAGACTGACTGGAAGAGATTGACTGAGTTAGCCACTGACATTGGGTCTAACGTTAGAAAATAGAAAGTCATTCAGTGTGAAATGTTAATGTAGTAAATCTTTATTCAGTGGATGATGATGTCGTTTTTTGGAACATTTGGTTTATTTCTCATTTGAAAAAGTCATTAAATATATTTCAGGTTATATTGATGGAAAAAAGCAACTCAACCTTTTTTTCTTCTTTCTTTGGGAGAAAAAAGGGTAAAAAAGGAAAACTGAAACATTTTTAAAGGCACAGACAGCATAAAAGTATATGGAATCATTCATGCATAATTTACAAATAGGAAAATAGAATTAACAGACATGTGCCTGATGGGAAATATTGAATTTAAATGTAAGATGTAGTTACCATATCAATGTAATAAATTTCTATGTCTATTACATGAACATCATCAATTTAGCACTAATGGCTCATCTGTATTATTCTGCTCCATTAACACATTAATGTTATTGTGATGGATTTATATAATATATGATGGGCTTATTTTTTTTATTCTAAGTTAAAGTTAATCTACTGATGCTGTGAAACAGCCAGTCTGTGTAAAAGTGATGAATTTCTCTTTATTTTAAAAGTCTTCAGTCCCTGAAAATGAGAACATCATGGTTGTTCGATGCTGTAGCGCACTGATTGTTTACATTGAGACCGGTCTAACTAGGGAGTACCAATATGGCGGCCGGTGGCTTCATTTCAACCCCGTGCTACCAATGAGCAATCAGGGAATAGATAGAGATCAGTGAGATAAACCCGTTAGAGCAGAAACTTCCTGGTGGAGGCGTGGTCTGAGCCAACCAATCAGCTTAGAGCTTTCCCTGACTGAGATATTGGCTGAGCTGGAATCCAGCGGAAGCGTCGTCCGAAGGCCCGAGTCGTCGGCCGATAACATCATAGCACGGCGCCAAGGCCTGTATGCAGCCGATAAAAGCATCCATCTTTTTGCCCGCTTGGAGGGAAGGGTCCGCTGTAGCCTACGTAGCCTTAGGTATCCCATGATGCATTGGGAGTGGAATTAAACCGGCTGACATTTAAGCTCAGATTCCAATATCTCTGCAATGTGGGGATTATAATCTGATATTAGCTGCGCAACGCTCCGGATCTGTTCTCTGCCTGCTTTGTGAGTCAGCTGTCACGGTTGCTAGGCGACAGAGCGTACGCTGAGGGAGGGGCGGAACCAGCAGGTAAACCGGGTCCTTGGATCTGTTGGAGGGCTGCTGAAAATATGGATCAGAACCTTGGTTCTGGTCTTCCAATGATCTTAGGTCTGGTGTCCTTATCGCCATGGCGCCGGGTCACATGTTGGCGATCGGATCTGTGTGGTACCGATAGGGCCCGCTAAACGAGCCGGGTCATCAGAACCATCACGGATGGAAGCAGAGAGAGCAGACTTCCAACCAAGCAGCCCTGATTCAGAACCTCTAATGACAGAACCTGTTGGGTTCAGGAGGTTCTGCTGAACCTCTGAGGTTCTGGACCTGTAGGTCCACAGAACTTTGGATCCTCCCAGAACCAGCTGGCAGCTGCTCTGTGTGGTTCTGATCAACAGAACCTCTGGTATCAGATGATGTCTGCTGGTTGGGTTCTGTTCTGACCCAATCATGAAGTCTTGTTTGGACCTCAGCAGAACCTCCAGTAGAACGGGCTCAGCTGCTCTGTGATTGGCTAACGCTGATGGACTTGGTACCGCCCCAGTTCTCACATGGACCTGAGCGTGTGCTGCTGTACCAGAACCTCAGACCCAAACTGTTTTCTGACGTCTCAGCTTGATTCTGCATGGGTCTGATGATCCGAAGCAGAACTTATTGGACCTGGACTGGAACCAAACTGGTCTTCATGAGCGTTCATTTGAGATGCTGTGATCCGGGTCCAATCGGGTCAATCCGGACTGACCTCCTGTTCCAGTCGCCTCCTGAGTCCGCCCCCATCGGGTCCTCCTGTTCCTGGTGGAGTAAACAAGCGCTCCCTGGAGGACCTTTGGTTCTGTAATCCTCCTAGATCCGTTTACTGAGATTCTGAAAACGCTGATGGGCCTTAACCAGAACCTGAGGAACCCGGTTCTGAAACGTCTGCTCCACAGTCGGAACCTTCCATTTAGGCAGAACCGTCCCGCTGGTTCTGGTTTTAGTGACTTAAGGAAGGATTTTCTGATCTGGATGTTTTTAATCAGGTTCTAATTCACATAGATCTAGAGTTCTGTTCAAATAGAGCCTGGTTCTGCTGGAGGTTTCTTCCTGTTCAAAGGGAGTTTTTCCTCTCCACTGTCGCTACAAGCATACTTAGTGTGAGGGATTGCTGAAGAGTCAATGAGTCGATGCAATCAGCTGGTTTTCCTTAGATCAGTGGTCTCCAACCCCCGGTCCTCAAGATTTACTGTCCTACAGATTTTAGATGCATCCCTGCTTCAACACAGCTGAATCAAATGAATGGCTTGAAAAGGTAATCAATCATTTGATTCAGCTGTGTTGAAGCAGGGATGCATCTAAAATCTGTAGGACAGTAGATCTTGAGGACCAGGGTTGGAGACCACTGCCTTAGATAGAAAACTTTGAATCAATCTGACTGGATGATCTGGTGAACTGGAAAGTGACCTGAGATGATATGATGTGAATTGGAGCTATAGAAATAAACTGAATAGAATTGAATAGATGCAGAACTGACCCGACCCGGTCGGAGAAGCAGCGTCTGCAGTGACGAAGCGTCTGAACCAAGCTGGAATTATCCAGTTATTGCTGGTCCTGCTGGTTCCCAGTAATGGCGGGTTGTCGGATCAGAACCGCCTCCTCTGTCATTACTGGGATCAGCGCTCTTTGTTCTGCTGCGTTCAGGAACGCCTCGGCCTCTAATTAAACTCTATCTGCCGTCTGAGTCTTGTTTTCAGGTGGCAATAATAAAAAGGTTCTGATCCGGTCTGTCTGGTACCGAGTCCCAGAATGATGTCCAGGGATCATGGTTCTGGGGTTCTGACCCGGATGGATCCAAACTCGCTTTGGTTCCTCTGGAAGCTCAAAACTTTCTGTTCTTCTCCTGCAGGTCCGCCCCGATCCGATCGGCCCCCGCTGACCTCTGACCTCTGAGACATGACGATGAGGTCCGATCCCGTCGGAACCGCCTGCTGAGTTCCAGAGTTCTGGTCCGGTTCTCGCTGAAGCAGAGGAGCAGAAGTTCAAGAAGCTGTTGGAGGATTTTATCGGGTCGGTTCTGGTTCCTCTTTCCCACCGGTTCTGCTGGCGTTTGGGTCCTCGGTTCAGGAGGAGATGGATCGCCGGGTCGGAGCGACAGGAAGTTGATCCGCAGCCAGAATGTCGTGGAAGAGGAACTACTTTGCGTCGGGTGGAGCGACGCCGGGGATGGTGACGCCTCGCCGCGTGGCGTCCATCGCTCCCAGCAAAGGCCTGAGCAACGAACCGGGTCAGAACAGCTGCTTCCTGAACAGCGCCCTGCAGGTACCAAAGCACACCCAGCAGAACCAGAACCGGGTCGGTCCATAACACTTGATCCTGGTTCTGATTTAGTTCCTCTGATCTGTCATGGTGGCAGGTCCAGACGGTTCTGACAGGTATTGGGTCGAACATCGCTGGACAGATTCTCTGAATTCAAACATCTAGAATAATTTTTCTACGTTTTATTTCTATAAAAATGTTTTTGGTTTAAATTAATTTAAGAGTTTCTTAATAATCATGAAAAACCTGAAAGGCCTCTGAACCATCACCCTAATCTGTAGCTGCCAGCATCAGAATCGGGTCAGAACCGGACCGGACCACTCTAGAACATTGAACGTTCCTGAACCTGTCAGGGTGTGAATACTTTCACCGCCAGCATCTTCCTGATCGGATCAAACCGGTCCTGACCGGTTTCCATGGAGACGATAAAGGAGAGGAAACCCGGTTCGGTTCTTTTTAACGATCAAAGTGGTTCTGGAGGAACCATCAGGTCCATAGAGCAGCGGTTCTGGTTGGTCGTTCACTACCGGGGTCCAAAAGGTCAGAGTCATCAGAACCGGATGTGCTGCCTGGTCTATTGGACCGATTCTATTTTAATGACGGATGAGGAGCAGAACCGCTGAGACGGAAATGTTTTCTAAATGGTTCTGGGCCCCAGATGTCTGACCCGGTTCTGGTTCTAGCAGAACTTAGCCTCTATGTCCCTGCAGCAGCCTGAAGGTCGTCTCCGTCTGAACATGAAGGTCAGATTCAGAACCAAGCTGACGGAACTGGACCCGTCAGAACCATTAAGAGCCGAGCCTTTGGACCAGAACTGATGAAGATGAGGATGATGATGATGAGTTCTGCTCCTTCTGGACCAGAACCAGCCTGAGCAGAACCGCCACCAGACGTGGAGCTGGAACGGTTCCACTGAGAGGTTCTGCTGCTGGCAGAACGGGCCGGACGCTAAGAGCAGGCGTCCTGTGGATCAGAACAGACGGCCCGGTTCCAGAACACAGCGACATATTGGCGCCGGCGGGGGGGCAGGAAGGAGCGGGCCTCGGCGCTGACCCAGCAGATCCTGTTAGCAGCATCCACCCGGTTCTGTCTCTGCTCGGCCCGGCTGCGGTTCTGTTTGCTGTCAGGAGGAACTGGGATCTGCCGACCCGGTTCTTCTGACATTCCAGCAGAACCGGGACAGAATTTCTGACCCGTTTCATCCCAAATGAACCAGATCCAGTTTAGGGAAAACATTCAGAACCAAAAAAAAACGTTTTTTAGCTCACTCACCGACCCGGTGGGCTGATCCGGTTCTTTCAGAACCACATTCCTGATTCGTTTATCACTGAGCCGATCAGAGGTTCTATGTGGTCCGATCGGTTCTGATGTTTTGAATGTCCGTGGATCGGAATTGGAATCGGACCCGTCTGTCTTCACACTGACATCCAGATGTTCTGGTTCCATCGGAGGAAGAGTTTTGGGGTTTTTCCTTCCAGCAGAACCAAAGGTCCGTTAGGTTAGTCCTTCAGTGGTTCTGACCGTATCTACTGACAATGCTGGTTGCCATGACGGCACCAGTCTCAGATCAGAATTCTGGGTCTGAGATAAAATACAGCCCAGAACGCTGCAGAGGTTCTGATCCAGACCCGGTTCTGCTGTATTAACACTGTGGATGTAAAGGAGACCCATTACTGACCTCTAGTGGTGGAAATGGAGACAGCAGAGCCTAAAACCATCCAGCAGCCAATCAGAAATCTTCATCAGAGGGACCAGAAGCTGACCGCGGTACCTATGGAGCTACAGCAGCGACCGATTTAACTGACGTCGAATGACGAGATTAAACAATAAAAATTCAAACACTGAAAATTTTCTTTAAAAAAAAGCAAAAAACTGATCATATTCTCATTTTCAGCTGCAGCATTTTTCATTGGGATGATAACAGCGTCACTGCAGACTTCCTGCAGCTATGATGTTACTACAAGCTTGAGCTGTTCTTCCCAAAAAAGTTCAAATCAATCCTCTGGACTTTGTTTCCAAGTTTGAAGACGTTTCTCTTCCATCTAGGAAGCTTTTTCAATTCCAAATGTCAGAAATAGCGTTTAGTTCCAGGTTTTATCCAGCAGCCCAACAAAGCCTGGTTTTAGTTTAGAAAACATGCAAATAGAAAAGGATGAACGGGTCCCCCCCTTTGGAATGGGGGTCGTTTGGCTTCTTTGTTAGCCTGCAATGCCCCATACCTGTCTATGTCTCTGAAAGGGGGGGTCATTAAAGGGAATTGTTGGTCTGGCTAAGCTACTAAAGGTGGTTAACCTGCTGACTGTGGCTAACCTACTAATGGTGGCTAACCTGCTAACTGTGGCTAACCTACTAATGGTGGCTAACCTACTGACTGTGGCTAACCTACTGACTGTGGCTAACCTACTAATGGTGGCTAACCTGCTAATGGTGGCTAACCTACTAATGGTGGCTAACCTGCTAACTGTGGCTAACCTACTAATGGTGGCTAACCTACTGACTGTGGTTAACCTGCTGACTGTGGCTAACCTACTAATGGTGGCTAACCTGCTAATGGTGGCTAACCTACTAATGGTGGCTAACCTGCTAACTGTGGCTAACCTACTAATGGTGGCTAACCTACTGACTGTGGTTAACCTGCTGACTGTGGCTAACCTACTAATGGTGGCTAACCTACTGACTGTGGTTAACCTGCTGACTGTGGCTAACCTACTAATGGTGGTTAACCTGCTGACTGTGGCTAACCTACTGACTGTGGCTAACCTACTAATGGTGGTTAACCTGCTAACTGTGGCTAACCTACTAATGGTGGCTAACCTACTGACTGTGGTTAACCTGCTGACTGTGGCTAACCTACTAATGGTGGTTAACCTGCTGACTGTGGCTAACCTACTGACTGTGGCTAACCTACTAATGGTGGTTAACCTGCTGACTGTGGCTAACCTACTAATGGTGGTTAACCTACTGACTGTGGCTAACCTACTGACTGTGGCTAACCTACTAATGGTGGTTAACCTGCTAACTGTGGCTAACCTACTAATGGTGGCTAACCTACTGACTGTGGCTAACCTACTGACTGTGGTTAACCTCCTAATGGTGGTTAACCTGCTAACTGTGGCTAACCTACTAATGGTGGCTAACCTACTGACTGTGGCTAACCTACTAATGGTATTTAACCTGCTAACTGTGGCTAACCTACTAATGGTGGATAACCTACTGACTGTGGTTAACCTGCTGACTGTGGCTAACCTACTAATGGTGGATAACCTACTGACTGTGGTTAACCTGCTGACTGTGGCTAACCTACTAATGGTGGCTAACCTGACTGTGGTTAACCTGCTGACTGTGGCTAACCTACTAATGGTGGTTAACCTGCTAACTGTGGCTAACCTACTAATGGTGGCTAACCTACTGACTGTGGCTAACCTACTGACTGTGGCTAACCTACTAATGGTGGCTAACCTGCTAATGGTGGCTAACCTGCTAACTATGGCTAACCTGCTAACTGTGGCTAACCTACTAACTGTGGCTAAGCTACTAATGGTGGTTAACCTGCTGACTGTGGCTAACCTACTAATGGTGGCTAACCTGCTAACTGTGGCTAACCTACTAATGGTGGCTAACCTACTGACTGTGGCTAACCTACTAATGGTGGCTAACCTGCTAATGGTTGCTAACCTGCTAACTGTGGCTAACCTACTGACTGTGGCTAACCTACTAATGGTGGCTAACCTGCTAATGGTATTTAACCTGCTAACTGTGGCTAACCTACTAATGGTGGATAACCTACTGACTGTGGTTAACCTGCTGACTGTGGCTAACCTACTAATGGTGGATAACCTACTGACTGTGGTTAACCTGCTGACTGTGGCTAACCTACTAATGGTGGCTAACCTACTGACTGTGGTTAACCTGCTGACTGTGGCTAACCTACTAATGGTGGTTAACCTGCTAACTGTGGCTAACCTACTAATGGTGGCTAACCTACTGACTGTGGCTAACCTACTGACTGTGGCTAACCTACTAATGGTGGCTAACCTGCTAATGGTGGCTAACCTGCTAACTATGGCTAACCTGCTAACTGTGGCTAACCTACTAACTGTGGCTAAGCTACTAATGGTGGTTAACCTGCTGACTGTGGCTAACCTACTAATGGTGGCTAACCTGCTAACTGTGGCTAACCTACTAATGGTGGCTAACCTACTGACTGTGGCTAACCTACTAATGGTGGCTAACCTGCTAATGGTTGCTAACCTGCTAACTGTGGCTAACCTACTAACTGTGGCTAACCTACTAATGGTGGTTAACCTGCTGACGGCTGTGATGGTAGTGGGAAAAAATCAACTCTATCGCTGCATTGTAGGTTTTAGAAAGCTGAAATCTGAATCTCAAACCACCTGTCTTCTTTGTCCAAAATGTGAACATTCTGGTCCTCCAAAGAATGTCCTTTGTCCATAAGGTGTAGATGGACAGCAGAGTCTTGTCCTGTAACTGAACTAGTTTTGGATCGGGGGGCGGGGCCAAACTGAACTGAGTTGCTCCTCTGGGCGCTCTCACTCCATCTCCCATCATCTCGTCTCCCGCTGGACTCAGACGGCTGCTCTGACTGATGCCTTCTGACGCCGTCACACCTTCTCACTCTGTGGTTCTGCTGAACTCTGTCTCTGATTGGTCCGTTTCCTCTGGTTGACTGGATCCCAGAGACCCTGAAGTCACCTTTAGTTCTGAGGAGTCGGTCGGACCATCCGCTCCGCCGTCTGGAGCTCCTTTAGGTTTCTAAACTTCTCTGAGGTTCTGGATGGTGGGTTGGTTCTAGAACCGGTTCTGCTCCACAGATGACATTTAATTTTTATCCTTTAACTCTGGAATCTGGATCATTAAAGGTAAAGATTCTGGCTTCTGGCTTTGTCAGATTCTTCTATTATTTTTATTGAATAAAAACATATCTTTTAATCTTTTATTAGTTAACCTTAAAACTTTTTTTCCTCACTTTTAAATGGTATTAAATTTTCATGGTTCTGACCCTGAAATCATCGTTTGATTTTTTTGGCGCTGATGGACAGACGGAGGAAGGAAAGCAGCTCCAATCACTGCAAAAAATATAAATCTCAATAAGTTATTTTTTCTTAAAATAAGTGTGTTTTTCCTTGATTTGAGGAGGTAAGTAAGACACTTTGCCAATGGAACAAGACAATTTCCTTTTAAAATAAGAAAAAACTATTTTATCGTCTTATTTCAAGTAAATATTATCTAACTATCTTATTTTAAGAGTGAAAATACTCATTCCATTGGCAAATCATCTTATTTACCTGCTCAAATTAAGGCTAAATATACTTAATTTAAGCCATTTTTTACTTATTTCTGGATTGTTTTTGCAGTGAACTTGGTTCATTATGGGATGGATCATCATGTGTTTAAGGATGACCAAACCGCCCTGAAGTTCTCCGCTTCTGAAGAAGGTTCTGTTGGTTTGTCCTCCTCAGGTTCTGTGGCACCTCGACATCTTCCGCCGGAGTTTCCGTCAGCTCACCACTCATAAGTGCATGGAGGACTCGTGCATCTTCTGCGCTCTGAAGGTGAGGAGCGTCCTGACGCCTCGGGCCGCTCCGGGTCCAGTTTCCTCCCTCACCTCCTCTCCTCTCCTCCTCCAGAGCATCTTCGGTCAGTTCCAGTACAGCAGTGAGAAGGTTCTGCCGTCCGACGCTCTGCGCAGCGCTCTGGCTAAGACCTTCCAGGACGAGCAGAGGTTCCAGCTCGGCATCATGGACGACGCGGCGGAATGCTTCGTAAGAACCACCGAGGGTCTGCAGCAGCTGGACGGACCGGCCAGACCTTTACTGACCTTCTGCTCTTTCCTAGGAGAACATCCTGATGAGGATCCACTTCCACATCGCAGACGAGACCAAAGAAGACATCTGCACGGCCAGACACTGCATCCCCCACCAGAAGTTCGCCATGACGCTGTTTGAGCAGGTGAGACGGACCAGCAGCTTCTGGCTCGGTTCTGCTGGGAACCCAAAGCTGAGCTCCTGCAGTCAGTGAGCTGCTGATGTCTGGAACCTTTGTCTGTTTGTCCATCAGTGCGTCTGCAGCAGCTGTGGAGCATCTTCAGACCCGCTGCCCTTCATCCAGATGGTTCACTACATCTCCACCACCTCCCTGTGGTAGGTTCCCCTCAGAGCCGCCATCTTTGGCTGCAACGCGCCGAGCTGTAGCTAGGTAACACAGCAGGGTCACCTAGGCAACCGGCATATTGATCAGAACCTGTGAGATTAAATGTTAGGATGGAAAAGCTGGAACAGAAATAATCAACTTCTGAAGTCACATCTGGGATGAAATTAAACCCGATTAAGAGATTTTCAGAATCTGGTTGGAAAATGTGACGATTTACTTTGTTGTTCTCATTGAACAAGTTATCTACCGTTAGCAGATTAGCCACCATCAGCAGGTTAACCCCATTAGTAGGTTAGCCACAGTTAGCAGGTTAACCACTATTAGTAGGTTAGCCACCGTTAGAAGGTTAGCTACCATTAGCAGGTTAACCACTGTTAGCAGGTTAGCAACAGTTAGCAGGTTAACCACCATTAGGTTAGCCACAGTCAGCAGGTTAGCCACAGTCAGAAGGTTAGTTACCATTAGTAGGTTAGCCACAGTCAGCAGGTTAGCCACAGTCAGCAGGTTAACCACCTTTAGTAGGTTAGCCACAGTCAGCAGGTTAGCCACAGTTAGAAGGTTAGCCCCATTAGTAGGTTAGCCACAGTTAGCAGGTTAACCACTATTAGTAGGTTAGCCACCGTTAGAAGGTTAGCTACCATTAGCAGGTTAACCACTGTTAGCAGGTTAGCAACAGTTAGCAGGTTAACCACCATTAGGTTAGCCACAGTCAGCAGGTTAGCCACAGTCAGAAGGTTAGTTACCATTAGTAGGTTAGCCACAGTCAGCAGGTTAGCCACAGTCAGCAGGTTAACCACCTTTAGTAGGTTAGCCACAGTCAGCAGGTTAGCCACAGTTAGAAGGTTAGCCACCATTAGTAGGTTAGCCAAAGTCAGCAGGTTAGCCACCATTAGTAGGTTAGCCAGAGTCAGCAGGTTAGTTACTATTAGCAGGTTAACCACTGTTAGCAGGTTATTTACCATTAGTAGGTTAGCGACAGTCAGCAGGTTAGCCACCGTCAGCAGGTTAACCACCATTAGTAGGTTAGTTACCATTAGCAGGTTAGTTACCATTAGCAGGTTAACCACTGTTAGCAGGTTATTTACCGTTAGCAGGTTAGCCACAGTCAGCAGGTTAGCCACAGTCAGCAGGTTAACCACCGTTAGCAGGTTAGCTACCATTAGTAGGTTAGCTACCATTAGCAGGTTAACCAACATTAGCAGGTTAACCAACATTAGCAGGTTAGCCACCATCAGCAGGTTAGCTACCATCAGCATTTTAACTACCATTTGCAGGTTAGCTACCATCACCAGGTTAGCCACCGTTAGCAGTCTAGCTACTGTTAGCAGGTTAACCACCATTAGCAGGTTAGCCACTGTTAGCAGGTTAGCCACCGTTAGCAGGTTAACCACTGTCAGCAGGTTAGCCACCATCATCAGGTTAGCTACCATCAGCAGGTTAGCCACTGTTAGCAGTTTAGCCACCGTCAGCAGGTTAGCCACCGTTAGCAGTTTAGCTACTGTTAGCAGGTTAACCACCAATTAGCAGGTTAGCCACCGTTAGCAGGTTAACCACCATTAGCAGTTTAGCTACTGTTAGCAGGTTAGCCACCGTTAGCAGGTTAGCCACCACCAGCAGTTTAGCTACTGTTAGCAGGTTAACCACCAATTAGCAGGTTAGCCACCGTTAGCAGGTTAGCCACCATCAGCAGTTTAGATACCACTAGCAGGTTAAGCACGGGTAAATGTTTACTCAGAGCAGCAGATTAGATGTGGGCACCATCATCAAAGTAATAATTATATTAATCTTCCTTAAATGGTTCTTAGTTTCAACTAAATAACTTTGCAACAAAAACTCATCCTTCAGTTTAATCCCAGAAGGGAAGAATTTACTGCAGCATCATGAAACCAGAACAGGGAATTCCCTGAACTTCCTCTTCCTCAGTAACCAGGCTGTGAAGATGCTGGAGTCCAAGGAGAAGGCCACGCCCAGCATGTTCGGGGAGCTGCTCCGGAACGCCAGCATGGGCGACCTGCGCAGCTGTCCTGTAAGGCTCCAGGAATTAAAAACTCAGAAACCTCCTGCTGGTTCCAGACCTTCACGTCTACCGTCTGCCTCCTCCTCAGAGTCAGTGCGGTCAGCAGCTCCGCATGGCCCGCGTCCTCCTCAACAGCCCGGAGATCATCACCATCGGCCTGGTGTGGGACTCGGAGCACTCGGACCTGGCCGAGGACGTCATCCACTCGCTGGGAACCTGCCTGAGGCTGGGAGATGTGAGGAGTTACAGCAGCAGACCATCAGACGGATAAACCAGAGTATGGTGAGCCAACGTTCTGATCGAGCCTCCATCTGCAGCTGTTTTACAGAGTGACGGAGGAGAAGGCGCGGCAGGCGGAGCTCTACCTGGTGGGCATGGTCTGTTACTACGGGAAACACTACTCCACCTTCTTCTTCCAGACTAAAATCAGACGCTGGATGTACTTCGATGATGCTCATGTAAAGGAGGTGAGATCCAGACCCCCCCGGTCTGTAGCAGGGCTCTGCAGCCAAAGAGCCGTTTAGCACCGAGTCTGGCAAAGTTTTAAAGCAGCAGAATATTATGAGTAATAGGAAATATTTTGCATCTTAAGCAACCAACAGTTTATCTGTATTTTAACTTCTGGCCCCAGAAACAGTTTAATTTTTCATATTTCATTCCGTTGCGGAAATGTGTTCATATATTCTTTATTGTAATGCTACTTTCACGCTGGAGGCGCTTTGAGCATCAAAAAAGCTTCTGCTGCTACAGGACCTTTTGGCTACATTCACACTGCAGCCTAAAGTGACCCAAATCCGATTCTTTTGCGACCTGGATCCCATTTTTTCACGACAGTCTGAACGACACAGATAAGATTTTTTTCCAGTGCGACCCAGAACACTTAGAACTGTGGTCCTGAATCCGAAACGAATTAGATTATTTTTATTTTCGACTTGTATCTGAAAGAGTCGGATTTATCCGACCTGACTGACATTAATACCCAGAAGCTACGGAGAAGCGGCAAGAAAAACAACAACCATGGCGGATGATGATGCGGAGATTTATATTTATGTTTAAACATGTTGAAAAGATTGAGTTATTTAAGGTTGGGAAAGATTGCTGGATGCGCTCCCACGCAACCGTCCATGTTTATTTCTGTAAACACAGAGCACGCTGGCCTGTGACATCATCGCGTCCTCTACTGCGCATGCAGGACACTTACGTCGTATAAATGCAGTTCACACAGGAGATCACATACAGGTGGGAAATACTTGGAAATGTGAACGATGCACAACAATCGGATTTCACAAAAATATTGGAATTGAGCATCAAAGCCTGCAGCGGGAAAGCAGCCTTTGATGCTCGTCAACCATAGACTTTAAGTGTAAACCAGCTGCTTCTGCTGCTTGAAGCGTGTTAGGTGTGAGCGTAGCATAATCGTATCATTTAGCTACTATTAAAAGCCAATGAGGATCTGAAGAGCTGCAGGTTGCAGAGTTTGGTTATATTTAGACCAGTTTCAGTCACTTTAAACCTGGTTTGTAGAAACGGTCTATCCTGAATGTCTCCTCATCCGGTTCTGTCAGTGGGCGACGTTCAGGATGCCTTCAGGGACCTCAGGCAGAGTTCTGACCTTTAGTTCTGGTTTCAGTTTGGGCTTCATGTGGGAACATCAGATCAAGCTTCAGAGCTGACAGGCGCCCCCTGCTGGTCATCAGCAGCAGTAATGATGAAGGAGCTGCATGGATTTAATCTTCTTCATCCTCAGGTTAACTTCCTGTTGATCACAAGAATAAAAGCTGGTAGTTCCAGACTTTTCCGTTACTGTAGAGGAAATATCTGATGAGTTTCCCCCCCCCCCCTCCAAACATGCGGTTCGATGTTGGGTTCTGTGAAACGAGGAAATCCCTCCATTGTTTGTCGGTGCAGCTGGACTGAAGGTGTGGTCAGAGGCTCCACGCTTTCTGCCCACACTGCAGACCTCCATCTCTTTCTCTGCTAAACAAACAGCCAGAAGCTTTGGTTTGGTTATTGTTGCGGCGGGACGGTCCGCTCCACGCCGGGACGTCCTGTCACATCCGATGGCAGCCGGGCAAAATGGAGGAAGGGTGGAAATGATAAAGAGAAGCGTCTCCTTTCCACAGAAAAGATAAACGGAAGAGGAGGTTTGTTTTTCCATCAGGGTGAGGAAAGTTCTGATCTTTGATTTGGATTTAAACAATCCAGACGGATTCTGGAAATAATGGAAAATAACTTTGGTTAAACATCACTGACTAAAACTATTCTAACTTATTATTAAAATTATCATTATTATGAAGAGTTTAAACACAATAAAAACATAATAATGGAAAACTTTACAGGTACGATTCATAATGAATATAAACTAAATGTAAAATTGTTTTCAGATCCAGTTCTTATATCGCTGCTTGATAATGGTTGAACTGGTTTAGGCTTTTATTGCTTTCTGTGGAAAAACTGATGAACATTTTGATCTTAGTTTAATATATTTATTCCAGCGTCCCAACGCTCTTATTTTGAAATTTAGCGGATCAGTTTTACTCTCCGTCAGTCAATGGAAATCTCTGCATCATTCAAACTAGCAAACATTACTTGGACTCTTTTTTTCTTTTTTGGAAGAAAATCTTATTTAATAAATATCTACCACAAGAAAATTTGTCCTTTTTTAATAACCTCAGACCTTAGGTTTAAATTAAAAATAAAATATTAAAATGAAGGAAAAACTCGCAGAAGGAGAATAAACAATATTTGATTTGGGTCGCTGATATTTTTTTTAAATAGATTTATTTTCTAACAAAAAATATTGCCCCTTTAAAGATGTAAAACATATATATATATATTTTTTTACTAATTTTGTGAATAGAAAAAAAACAAAGCTTCATTCCTGCTAATAAAACCCGCTTAGAGACGCAAACGTCACATGCTTTTTTTTGCTGATCAGTGGGTAGCACTGCTGCCTTGCAGCAAGAAGGTCCCGGGTTCGATTCCCGGCCCAGGGTCTTTCTAAATGGAGCTTGTTGTTCTCCCTGAGCATGCGTGGGTTCTCTCCGGGTACTCCGGCTTCCTCCCACAGTCCAAACACATGAATGTTAGGTTAATTGGCTTCACTAAATCCTCCTTAGGTGTGAGTGTGTGTGAATGGTTGTTTGTCCTGTTTGTCTCTGTGTTGCCCTGGCAACCTGTCCAGGGTGGACCCCGCCTCTGACCTGCAAACAGCTGATGGACACCAACACCCCTCGCCACCCCAACTAGGATAAGCGTGATGGAAAATGGCTGAAAAGTAAAACTTTACAACAGGTTGCTAATATTTTGAGAAAGTAATGTTTAAAAATCCCTCTTAAAAAATACCAAAAAGTATATTTCTGCAAAGGCAGTTAGTGGAGAAAATGCTAAAGCTAGCACCCAGTCCAGGAGTGAAAGGATCTGCAGGAAATGATGCCATAAACACGTGGAGTGAGTCTCTATAAACAGCAGAGAGTCTGAGGCTGATTCTAGCAGTGTTGGTCTCCATGGTAACCCTGGTCTCTGTAGAGCCGTGCGTTCGGATGGCGTCGGTAGATAGACCGGTCCAATCATCCCGCTGCGTGTTTCTGTTTCCTCCAGATCGGCCCCAAGTGGAAGGACGTGGTGTCGCGCTGCATCAAGGGCCACTACCAGCCGCTGCTGCTGCTGTACGCGGACCCCCGGGGGACGCCGGTGTCGGCGCCGGACCTGCCGCCGCGTCTGGACCTGCAGCACCTGAACAAGGCCAGTTACGACAGCGAGGACTCGGGTAAACAGACCGTCTGCATGAAGCAGCTGTTAGGAGCTGGACCATAGTGATGACATCATCACTGCCGCCCCCCAACAGGCCGCGAGCCGTCCATCTCCAGCGACACGAGAACCGACTCGTCTACAGAGAGCTACTGCGGCCGTGGGCCCCCCCACTCCCACCATGAGGCCCAGGGAACCCTCGTCTGCCCGCAGCGACCGGACCGCGCCGCCTCGCTCTGCAGCCTGGAGGCCATAGGTACCCCCTCCCCCCCAGACCCGACCCGCCCCGACCCGCTGGTTCCTCCATCCTCACTCATTCACTGTGATGCATGAACTGTAATCCATCCCATAATGCATCTGTCATCAGGCCGCCTGGCGGACGGGGAGCAGCAGCAGGCTCTGAGGAAAGGAGGCGGGGCCTCGGACAGGAGGCGGAGCTCCGGGCGGTCTCGGCGAAATAAACACGAACCGTCATCAGCAGGTTACCATAGCGATGGTAGGCGGGGCTTAGACTTCATTCATCATTTCCTCTGTTAACAGAGAAGCTTTTCTTTGGTTCCTCATGATTCATTCATTCACCCTAAGTTCTCCATCGCTGCTCTCCTCCTTCCTCCTCGGTCTCCCACACTGTTTTCTTCTCCTCCATCTTCCAGGAGAAACCCTGAAGGAGCAGCAGGTTCCTCGCCAACTCCCCAAACCTTCCTCCTCCTCGTCTTCCACCAGTCGCCTCAGAGACTTTAAGGACACCATGACCAACATCATCCGCCCCCTCTCCTCCTCGTCTTCCTCCTCTCTGCCAGCCGCCGTCTTCTCCTCCCCCTCCTCCTCCCCCTTCATCCAGAACCTCCCAGGTCCAAATGCGGCTCCGGGTTCCTCTAAAGTCCAGGACTGGGAGGCTGACAGCACCAGCAGCGAGTCCAAGTCCAGCGCCTCAGGAGGAGCGGGGCGGTACCGACCGGCCTGGAAACCGCGGAGGGAGACGCTGAACATTGACACCATCTTCACCCGAGAGAGGCGGAGGCAGGCGGGGTACAGCCCCCTGGGAGGACCCCCACCTGATGGGGGAGGAGCTGCTGATGGAGGAGACGCCTCCTTCTCAGCCCAGGAGGAGGCGTCCTCCGTCAGACCTGGATCCTCCAGGACGCTGCCCACCTCCTTCAGAGAGTCGCGGCTCCCTCCTCCTCCTCCTCCCAGGTTGATCCAGAGGATGGAGAGCGGCTATGAGAGCAGTGAGAGGAACAGCAGCAGCCCTGTGAGTCTGGAGCTCAACCTGGGAGACAGGTGAGGAACCGGGGAGGGAGGGGAGGGGCCGGGGGAGGGACTGAGGGGGAGGGGGAGAAGGGAGGGACCTGGGCCCACTCCCAAACTGGTTCCTAAACACTAACCCTCCATTAGCGCATTCCTGTGGAGGGTCCATCACAGTCAGTGCTGTCCCAAACCATGTAGTGGGTAGGGCAAGTAGAAGATGGACGATTCTCTTCTAAATAGTTTGATTTCACTGGATAGATTTATTGTTAAGTAAATGGCAAACATTTGATGTGATGTCATCCTGCGCTACAGAGCTACAGCCATGAAAATTGAAGGTTGCCATAGGAACAAATGCTTCCCTTTTCTGTTGGAGGGAAAACCGGCACTTTCTCGTTTACACCCCCCACCTTCAATCCAGGCGCCTTCCAAAGCTGTGAAAGCGACTTTATTGGGAATGTTAAGGTTAGCGGTTAGCCGTTAGCCGGCGGTTTGGGATTCAGCCCTAGAGTCTCTTTCTGCTCTGATATGCTAACAGTGGTTTATGGTTTCTGGCACAACTGGATGAACTTCTTCGGTCTCCAGCTGAACATCGAGGTTCACTTTCTGACGGATTGTGTTAAAAATGCAGGTTGAACCAGTTTGAACATGAATTACTGACTGAAAACCACATTTATTCCATAAGAAACATTTAATTCAGTGAGGTTTAGATTAGACAATCGCTGCTCACAATGACTCCCTATAACCATCCATAGAACATATAGGAAACTCCTGTTATTAGACAACACTGACCCCCGCAGGTCCAACTGGAAATTACACTTCAAAAAACAATCACTGTTAAAAGACATTTTAAAGGTACAAAATACCAACAAGATAAATGAAGATAAAGCCAGTAGGGAACACTGATGATATATAAAACTATCTTCTTGTATTTATTTTTATCATTTTTTTATCATCTATTTTGTATTAAATAGATGGAGGGCTGGTAGGAAACCAATGAAGATGATTTTGTTTCAGACTAACTGATTAAAAGCTGTTAATATGATTAAACAATAAATATTTTAAAATCCCAGCAGCTCAAAGTCTGAAATGTTGGTATCTGCATCTGAGATGAAAGTTTAGCTCTTCTGTCTGAATGTTAAAGTCCGTCACTAAAATTTAAGACATGAATAAATCCATCTAGATGAACTGATGCTGTCTTTGTTCTGCAGGGACAGCGCTGGCAAGAAACCTTCCTCCTCCTCCTCCTCCTCCTCCTCAGGACCATCATGGAGGAACATCAGGTCAAAGAGCAGCGGCTCCTTGCTGCAGGACATCGGCTCCACCAGCAGAGGGAGCCTCGGTACGGAGGATGAAGTTTAGAAGTCATGACCCAGACCCGGCTGTTCTCTAAGCTGTGATGTTTGTGTTGCAGCGCCCCCTGCAGGCCGCAGCGAGCTGGACGAGCTGCAGGAGGAGGTGCTGAGGAGAGCAAAGGAGGAAGAGCAGCAGCGGCGGCAGGAGAAGGAGAGGGAGGCGGCTCTGGGCTTCAACCCGAGACCCAGCAAGTTTCTGGACCTGGACCAGCTGCAGGTCCAGGGTGAGTTCTGCAGCTCTGATGGTTCAGAGAGTCGGGCTGAAGCGCTGCAGACTGCGAGCTCAGCAGATATGATGAACAGCAGGAATGTTCCTCTGACCTGCTGAGCGGCTCAAACCGAAACAAACGAAGCGATGAACCAGCAGCTTCTCCCATTGTTCTGACTCGGTTTGTCCTGCAGGTAAAGGCGACAGCTTTGACAGGTGTGTGATGGAGGCGGAGCTTCTGCTGGACCAATCGCTGCGTCTGGAGCAGGCAGGCGAAGTCACAGCGGCGCTGTCTGCGGTCAACGAAGCCGTCTGTAAGCCCCTCCCACTGCACAGACCCCGGCCCTATTTAGTTGCACTACAGAAATGATCAATAAATAAGTTAAAATCTCTTAATTTAAGTTTATTTCCCCTTAATTTGAGCAGGTAAATATGATGATCTGCCAATGGAATGACTATAATAACTCTAAAAATAAGATAATTAGATAAAATGCACCTGAAATAAGACATTATAATTATTTTTGATGCCCAAATAGCTGCTCTGTAACAGTTAGAGGTTTTCCAGTCCAAACGTCTGTTAAAAACGCCACAACCCGCCCAATTCACATATATCGATATACACTATATTGCCAAAAGTATTTGCTCACCCATCCAAATTATTGGAATCAGGTGTTCCAATCACTTCCATGGCCACAGGTGTATAAATTCAAGCACCTAGGCATGCAGACTGTTTTTACAAACATTTGTGAAAGAATGGGTCGCTCTCAGGAGCTCAGTGAATTCCAGCGTGGAACTGTGATAGGATGCCACCTGTGCAACAAATCCAGTCGTGAAATTTCCTCGCTCCTAAATATTCCACAGTCAACTGTCAGCTGTATTATAAGAAAATGGAAGTGTTTGGGAACGACAGCAACTCAGCCACGAAGTGGTAGGCCACGTAAACTGACGGAGCGGGGTCAGCGGATGCTGACGCGCATAGTGCGAAGAGGTCGCCAACTTTCTGCAGAGTCAATCACTACAGACCTCCAAACTTCATGTGGCCTTCAGATTAGCTCAAGAACAGTGCGCAGAGAGCTTCATGGAATGGGTTTCCATGGTCGAGCAGCTGCATCCAAGCCATACATCACCAAGTGCAATGCAAAGCGTCGGATGCGGTGGTGTAAAGCACGCCGCCACTGGACTCTAGAGCAGTGGAGACGCGTTCTCTGGAGTGACGAATCGCGCTTCTCCATCTGGCAATCTGATGGACGGGTCTGGGTTTGGCGGTTGCCAGGAGAACGGTACTTGTCTGACTGCATTGTGCCAAGTGTAAAGTTTGGTGGAGGGGGGATTATGGTGTGAGGTTGTTTTTCAGGAGCTGGGCTTGGCCCCTTAGTTCCAGTGAAAGGAACTCTGAATGCTTCAGCATACCAAGACATTTTGGACAATTCCATGCTCCCAACTTTGTGGGAACAGTTTGGAGCTGGCCCCTTCCTCTTCCAACATGACTGTGCACCAGTGCACAAAGCAAGGTCCATAAAGACATGGATGACAGAGTCTGGTGTGGATGAACTTGACTGGCCTGCACAGAGTCCTGACCTCAACCCGATAGAACACCTTTGGGATGAATTAGAGCGGAGACTGAGAGCCAGGCCTTCTCGTCCAACATCAGTGTGCGACCTCACAAATGCGCTTCTGGAAGAATGGTCAAAAATTCCCATAAACACACTCCTAAACCTTGTGGACAGCCTTCCCAGAAGAGTTGAAGCTGTTCTAGCTGCAAAGGGTGGACCGACGTCATATTGAACCCTATGGATTAGGAACGGGATGTCACTTAAGCTCATATGTGAGTCAAGGCAGGTGAGCAAATACTTTTGGCAATATAGTGTATTTACTGTGTGAACATGAACACACTTCAGTACAACTTACTCTACATGTCAAAACGCTTCAATTCAACCAAATCTTCCTAGTTTTTCTCCATATAGATGCCTCCAGTAAAGCACATTCACATGAAAATTAATTTTAATTAAAAATTATTGAACGGGATGTAATAATTTCGTATTTAAAGTACTTTCAGAAGTTTGAATTCTGAATATGAACAGACTTTTCCTTTTTAAAGTTAACTTCTAAACCGCCGATCTGACCCCCAACCTGCCCAGAAGCTATTTTTAATCTCAAAATAAAAAATGAAAACCACCCAATCGGGCGGGTTACTGCCCAATCTGGCAACACTGTGACTCCTCTCCTTATTTATGGACCAAAGTAACTGAAACATGATGCATAAGAAGAAGAGGCTCGATTGGATCGTTTTTCTGAGCCTTCAGGCTGGTTTCAGTGTTTTTCTGTTGGTTTTACATGATTTCTGTTTATTATTTCCTCATTTCTGACACACAGCAGGCCTCACGTCTCATAAACACTGATTTCATGTTTCCTTTAAATGATTTTTACATGAAAACCATCATATGTTATTATTTTCTTTCTTTTCATTTCCCATTTATTCTTTCTTTTCTTTATTTTCTGTGTCCGTTGTTCTGTAACTCCCCCACACACGCGCTGCAGCCAAGCTGCGCTCTGTGGCGACTGAGGTTGGAGCTAGTAGCCACAGTCGGCTGCAGCGCTGCACCAGGAGAGCCCGCAGCCTGCAGCAGCGCATGCAGCTGCAACAGGAGGCAGTAAAACAGGAAGCTGTGCTGCAGGAGGAGCAGCAAAAGGAGGAGCCCAGGTACCACTTGCACTGAACTCAGCCAATCAGAGGTCAGGGAGGCTCAGGCTGTCGGGGGTCAACAAAACCAGCTAATTCAATTCTATTCAGTTTATTTCTATAGCTCCAATTCACATCATGTCATCTCAGGTCACTTTCCAGTTCACCAGATCATCCAGTCAGATTGATTCAAAGTTTTCTATCTAAGGAAAACCAGCTGATTGCATCGACTCATTGACTCTTCAGCAATCCCTCACACTAAGCATGCTTGTAGCGACAGTGGAGAGGAAAAACTCCCTTTGAACATGAAGAAACCTCCAGCAGAACCAGGCTCAGTGTGAGCGGCCATCTGCTGAGGCCCACTGGGGTTCAAGGAGACAGAAGCAGACATAGAAAAAGAAGCATAGATACAAAAGGCAACTGTCAACCAGCTCCACAGGCGGCCCCGTCCAGGAAACACACAGCCAGGCAGACGAGCTCCGAGCCAGCTCCCATGTCAGAGGATGAAGAGAGCACATCCAGTTAGTCACAGTCAGAGAAACAGGACTACACTGGAAAACAGGCCAAGCTCCAACATCTAGAAACAAAGGTGTTGATGGCAGCAGCACAGCTGATATTTCTCTCCAGGATGGAGTCACAGCCAAACAGGAACAGACCAGATGAAGCTACTATGAGAAAAAGCAGAGAGAGCAGAACGTTAGAGATTGAACTAACAGATTCTGCAGAGTGGGAGAATAGAGATAGAATGAAGCAGAATGATGAAAAAGGGGTCCCTATGTCCTCCAGCAGTCTAAGCCTATAGCAGCAGAACTATAGAGATAGCTCAGGATAACCTGAGGCACTCTAACTAGAAGCTTTATCAAAAAGGAAAGTTTTAAGCCTAGCCTTAAAAGTAGACAGGGTGTCTGCCTCACGGACTAAAACTGGTAGTTGGTTCCACAGGAGAGGAGCCTGAGAACTAAAAATAAGATGTTTCTGTAAAGTTTTGGCAGCAAACATCTATATATTTTGTTTTTGGAACATTTAAGCCCCGCCCACTCACATGTGCATATAAAGTTATTATTTGAAGCTTCAAGCGTTTAATGTGGTTGTCTCTCTCTCCCTCTCTCTCCCCTGCAGTGAAAAGCCTCTCCCGCTCGCAGTTCTTCTGACAGACCAGCAGGGCAACCAGTCCGCTGCCCATCCACAGGACACTCACCTTTCCACTAGCTTTAAGCCCCTCCCATCTGCATCAGGTTTGCCCTCTGGCTCCGCCTCCAGCCCTTTGGCCCCCTCTCCAAGTAGGACCAGGAGTCCCCGCTCTTTCTTTGGGAAAACCCTCAGTAATGCCAGGTCCCTCCCTGCTCTCTCTGTGGATACCTGCCTGGAAGACTTGGCTCCTCCCCCTCCACCTGTAGAGGATTGGTCTGTCCCATTACAAGCCCCGCTCCCACCTAGAACCCCGTCACCTGCTGATCCCACCACTAGGTGTCCTGTGATAACACCAGAGGGCGACTCGTGTCAAACTAATAATAAACAGGCCACACCCGTCAATCATAGCCCAGCTTCAACTTTGGCTCCTCCCCCTTCCTCCAGCCCAACCAGGAAGTGGTCTTGTTTAAGTCTGGAGCAACCTGATGTGGTGGATTCTCCAAACCGATCGATCAGCCCCCCCGTTCAGCCCCCTTCAGACTCCGCCTCCAACCCCCCACCGCTTGGCCAGCCCGTCAGACCCGCCTCCAGTCCGGTTCACCGAGGCGCCCTGCCTGTAGAATGCTGGGCGGAGAACGTCAACCGGTACTACAACTCCCAGAATGCAGTGGGAGGTGGAGGAGTAGCGGCAGCGGAGGCTGTAGAGGAGATGTCTGAGCTGGAGACGCTGTACCAGGCCAGTCTGCAGGCTCCCAGCATGCACCGGGGCAGCCGTGGGGTCAGCCCACAAGCAGGGGGCAGCAGAGCAGGTAGAGAGAAGATAAACATCAGTCTGTGACAATTAGAGAAGTAGAACCAATGAATAAATTCTGATGAACTGGTTTAACCCATTTAGGCCTAAAACGCCTGGAAAAAACACCTTAAAAACCTATGGCCGATTTTAAAAAATACCCCTAAAACCTGAAGTTTTTTTGTAAATTCAGCAACTGTGTCAACGCCTAAATTATTGATATCTCAGCTTCTGTAGCAGATAGAACTCAAAATATATTTTATCTTTGAAATTCTTCCAAAAAAAAAAAATGTGAAAAGCAGTAATCAAAAAAAAAAAAATTCAACCTTTTATTTTTTCCATATGTCATGTCTTCATTGAGAATGTGCAATATAAAACGTTTTCAAAATAAAGAACAAACATTACATAAATAACTATCTGATTACTTATTAACAGTATTATTATGCATAATAATGCATGTCTGTGTTATAAATTGCATACAACCTACCTCCAGATGGCCACAAATCTGTCCCGGGACATATTTTGGGGGAACTGCGTCCTGAAGAGAGGTTTACATACACAGCCCAATAAATGTCTTCATCTCCGTCACAGTCACCGGTGACCACTTTGCCATCTTTGCTCTTGTTGGAGTTTGGTTTGTTTGGTCACTGTACCTATTCGTCTCGGTAACTAGATGCATCCAAAGTTCTTCATTAAAAATATGCTCAAATGCCTGCAGCGGTGTGGCGTCTGCAGGCAAATCAACTTTCACTCCAGGTGTGCAGTTGAAAACACTCCGTGCATTGCGGTGGTAGTTCGATTGGTTCAGCGCGTTCAAAGTCATCATTTTCATCTATACCGTCATCAAAGCCGACACACTCCTCAAAATCACTGCCTTCCGACAACTCTTCTCTGTCAAACTCCTCCATGTTTGCTTGAAAAAAACTTCTTTCTTCTTGCTTGACTTATATGCTCTCCCGGCGTCAATGGTAGAATTACGCAACAGCGCCCCCGGCTTGAATGGTAGAAATGCGGTAATGCTTTCCCGGCCTAAATGGGTTAAGATCCAGACTAATTCTGATGAACAGAATTGATCAGGATGATGAGATTCTGGATCCATCAATATAATTATCTAAGTTTCTTCAGGTTCTGGTTTACCAGGGGAGCCATGATGAATGAAAGAACAGTATCAGGTCATTGTCTGATAAACAGAGTCTAGAGCAGGGGTGGGCAATTCCTTAGTGCCGGTATCCTGCAGCTTTTACATCCATCTTTGGTCTAACACACCTGAATCAAATGATTGAATTATCTCCTGAGTCTGCTGTCGGTTCCTCCAGAGTCCTCTCAATCATTGGATTCCTTAATCCAGGTGTGTTGAACCACAGGCACATTTAAAAGTTGCAGGATACGGGAATTTCCCACCCCTGGTCCAGAGCCAGTCTGGTCTGTTGAGCAGCAGGCTGCAGACTTCTGATCCACTAGATAAAAACCTTGATTCCATCTCAGCGTGGAGCTAAACGTCCTAATCTTTAATATGCTGGTGAAGATTCTCAGTCATCCAGGTCAGTTATTCCAAGAAAGTTAAACAAGAATCCTCTGGACTTTGTTTCCAAGTTTGAAGTTTCACTTCCATCCAGGAAGCTTTTCAATTCAAAATGTCAGAAATAGTTGATTCCTTCCTGCTATCATTGCAACCCTACCTTCCCCTTTAAAGGGGAACAGAAGACCCCCCCCCCACCCCTATTTACAGGTGCTGGTCATAAAATTAGAATATCATGAAAAAGTAGATTGATTTCAGTAATTCCATTTAAAAAGTGAAACTTGTATATTATATTCATACATTACATACAAACTCATATATTTCAGATGTTTATTTTGTTTAATTTTGATGATTACAAATGACAACAAATGAAAATCTCAAATTCATCATATCAGAAAATTAGAATATTACTGAAGACCAATAAAAACAAAGGATTTATAGAAATGTTGGCCAACTGAAAAGTATGAACATGAAAAGTATGAGCATGTACAGCACTCAGTATTTAGTTGGGCCTCCTTTGGCCTGTATTACTGCAGCAATGCGGCGTGGCATGGAGTCGATCAGTCTGTGGCACTGCTCAGGTGTTATGATAGCCCAGGTTGCTCTAATAGTGGCTTTTAGCTCTTCTGAATTGTTGGGTCTGGTGTATTGCATCTTCTTCTTCACAATACCCCATAGATTTTCTATGGGGTTAAGGTCAGGAGAGTTTGCTGGCCAATTAAGAACAGGGATACCATGGTCCTTCAACCAGGTACTGGTAGCTTTGGCACTGTGTGCAGGTGCCAAGTCCTGTTGGAAAATGAAATCTGCATCTCCAAAAAGTTGGTCAGCTGCAGGAAGCATGAAGTGCTCTAAAACTTCCTGGTATGTGGCTGCGTTGACCCTGGACCTCAGAAAACACAATGGACCAACACCAGCAGATGACATGGCACCCCAAACCATCACTGACTGTGGAAACTTTACACTGGACTTCAAGCAACGTGGATGAAGTGCCTCTCTTCTTTTCCTCCAGACTCTGGGACCTTGATTTCCAAAGGAAATGCAAAATTTACTTTCATCAGAGAACATGACTTTGGACCACTCACCAGCAGTCCAGTCCTGTTTCTCTTTAGCCCAGGCAAGACGCTTCTGACGCTGTCTGTGGTTCAAGAGTGGCTTGACACAAGGAATGCGACAGCAGAAACCCATGTCTTTCATACGTCTGTGTGTGGTGGTTCTTGAAGCACTCACTCCAGCTGCAGTCCACTCTTTGTGAATCTCCCCCACATTTTTGAAGGGGTTTTGTTTCACAATCCTCTCCAGGGTGCGGTTATCTCTCTTGCTTGTACACTTTTTTCGACCACATCTTTTCCTTCCCTTCGCCTCTCTATTAATGTGCTTGGACACTGAGCTCTGTGAACAGCCAGCCTCTTTAGCGATGACCTTTTGTGTCTTGCCCTCCTTGTGCAAGGTGTCGATGGTCGTCTTTTGGACAACTGTCAAGTCAGCAGTCTTCCCCATGATTGTGTAGCCTATAGAACTAGACTGAAAGACCATTTAAAGGCTTTTGCAGGTGGTTTGAGTTAATTAGCTGATTAGAGTGTGGCACCAGGGGCCATCAATTTTGAACCTTTTCACAATATTCTAATTTTCTGATATGATGAATTTGAGATTTTCATTTGTTGTCATTTGTAATCATCAAAATTAAACAAAATAAACATCTGAAATATATGAGTTTGTATGTAATGTATGAATATAATATACAAGTTTCACTCTTTAAATGGAATTACTGAAATCAATCTACTTTTTCATGATATTCTAATTTTATGACCAGCACCTGTAGAGACATAGACAGGTATGGGCCTGGCAGACTGACAAAGAAGCCAAACTAAAACCAGGCTTTGTTGGGCTACTGGATTAAACCTGGAACTCAACGCTATTTCTGACATTTTGAATTGAAAAAGCTTCCTGGATGGAAGAGAAACAAAGTCCAGTGGATTGATTTTAACTTTTTTGTAACAAAACCTTTAAGGAAAACGCAGTTTTTTTTACATGGGTCCTTGATTTTCCGTTATTCCATCATGTTCTACTCACCCGTATGAGTTTAGTGTCATTTGGAGCCGTTCTGAAGATATTCCGTTAGGTTATATCCAGTAACGTCTTCCTATGGGGAACGACTTGAAGGCACAAACTAAACTGTTCATCATTTATTCTTTATGGTACGCCAGCATTCAGAACATGGAGGCCAATCACTGTCCCCCAGACATCCGCGGTTAGTTTTTTTATATTTATATATTTTTTAAACAACGCAGCATGTATATGACGTCAGCAGCGCACTACCGTTCATTGTTCCTGTCCTCTGAACTGCTGCTAGTTTTCCTCACATGCCTGGAAGATGTCTAGAGCTGCTACCACAGATGATCTCGCTCTCCAGATGAACGATTCAGATTAGCTAGAATGAATAGAAGGGGTAGAGCGTAGCCGCCTGGTGTAATGTACATTGGTTAAATGAAGTTTAAAAAATAAACTCATACATGCGCCGCTTTGTTTTATAGAGTGGACCAAAAAGAAAGCCTGGTTTTAGTTTAGAAAACATGCAAATAGAAACAGACGAACAGGTCCCCCCCGTGGAATGGGGCTTCTTTGTTAGCCTGCAATGCCCCATACCTGTCTATGTCTCTGAAAGGGGGTCGTTAGAGGGAATGGTTGGCCTGGCTGAATAGGCAAGGTCTTCATTTCCCCTGTCATATTTTCCCCTCGCTAATATTTTTGCCAAAGCTAGCGCATATAAAACCCATCTACTCTCCTAACGTCACGGAGCACTAGAGTTTAGTTTTTTTTTAAATCGCAGCTTTCCGTGAAGTAAACTGCTCACTTTGTCTCACTGCGTCCAACTCCATGCTGATGCTAGCATCGGCTGTTCAGCGTGTTCGTTTGCGGGGGGGCGATGCAGAGAGCTTACTGAGGGACGGGGCGGCACTGAGCAGCTCCGCGCTCGGAACGGGACGAGCGGAATCGGCGCCCGTCGAAGTTTCTGTCAGCTTTTTCGCAGCAGTAATTTAATTTTTTTAATCAGCCACATTTTGGCCGATGTCAAATAATTAGCCGAACGTTAAGATCAGCCCTGCGATTTATCGGCACCGGGTTCTACGTAGAGCAGGCGTAGCTGCCTCTAGACCTGCCCAGGGTTTCACAGCTGGATAAATCATGTGATGAACGTAAATATTTAGATACTGAATAAAATATGAATGAATACAGAACCCTGTGGAACTCCACTTCATTCACATCAAATAAATTAGTGACAGGAAATAATTCTGGTCCCTAAAACAGAAATGGAAATATGGATTTCACTATAAATGATTTTTCTTTGTGTGTTTTAAGGTGTGAGGAGGATACCATCGGGATCTGGACGCTCCAAAACACCGACGGCTGAAATAGAGAGACATGCCTACAGAAGTCTGGTCTCACCTGTGCAAAAGGTATAAATGGACTGAAAGCTGCTGCTTCATCAGTAAAAAAGATAAATAATAAAGTTTTATTTTAACATTGATAACAAAATTAATGGAAAACTGGAGTCATAATCACGGATTAACCCTGAGCTGGACTGATCTGTTGATATTACAGAATTCTGTGTTCAGCTCAGGTTTAGTGGCTGATTTAACTGCTGTGGCAGAAAATTATGAAACATGTGGAACAACAGTGAATGAAGCCTAATAATCAGATCAATCTGAGCTCTAGAATTTATTGAAATTTTAGTTTATTCATGAAATGGTTTAAAAGATATAAAAGCCAAAAAGTGTTTAATTATAAATGCACTTTGAAGTTTAAAATCTTAAAGTGGTTGATTCAGATGCTGCATTTGGTCTCAGTAAGAGGAAGAAATATCCTCTTCATCCTCATCATCAGTTCCTCACCTGAGATTACTGGAAGTTTCTAAAGAAATATTCTGTAGAAAGATTCTGATCTTATCTGTGTCGTCTGCAGCCCCCCGCAGGTGAAGATGAGAGCTACAGCGCAGAAAACCTGCGATGCCTCGCTCGAAGTCTGAGCGGAACCGTCATCGGGTCGAGACCGCAGACCCTCCCACAAAGATGTGTAAGTCAAACACAGGAGGATAATGCTGCCCCCTGGTGTTATCATGTCATCACTGCAGCCTATTTCCCTCCATGACTCAAAGTGATGTGACTGATTGCGGCTAATGAATGAGATCAAACCAGGAAGTGAATTTAGTTCAAAGCCTCAAACTGAGATCAGTCTGAAAGGTTTCAGCAGCTGCTGATGTTCATCCATCCTGTATTCAGCCCTCAGGAGTCGCCTCAGGCTGCTGCTTAAATTATTTATGCCTCATTTAGTTCCTCTGGTAGCTTTACCCTGAGCGCCGTCTGCCAGGTGAAGCTGACTCATGTTAAACATCCAGTAGCCTGCAGACATCTTCTGATCACATTTACTGAAACTATGGTGGCTCAAAGGGTCCACTATCTGTCAGAATCACTCAGAGAAACTTTATCTGACAGTTTTAGCTCATTTATGTTTTTATTTCACATACATCTTGTTAATTTACCTCCTCATTTTTTTTTACTCCTCCTTTGAATCCATCTTCATCACGCCTCCTCTTCCTCATCCTGTCTGAAGGACCCCAATGTCTCCAGGCCCCCCCTCAGACACTCAAACCTTCACAGCACCTCCTCCCTCCCACGCTGTCCCAGCACCTCCTCCTTGCACCCCCCCTCCTCCACCTCCTTCCCAGCAGATCACGCCTCCTTCCATCAACCCCGACACCATGGACCCCCAGCTCCACAGCACCCCCACATGCAGGCATCACGGCCCCCCAGCTCGGGGCCCTCCTCCTGGGGACACTCAGGTAACCCACTGACCCCTCACCTCCTCACTGCTCCTCAATCACTCTCACATTTTTGTTGTGCAATTTTACCAGAAGATTATGAATATATATAAAAATATACACATGGAAAAGTTCAAACATGGAAACAAGGTCCAGTGGATTGTTTTTAATTTTTCGGAATGACTATGACCTGAATGACTAAGAATTTTCACCCGCGTATTCATAAGGGTGCTTATGATTCTATTGTTAATAGAATCTTATTTATAAAGAATCCCATAAAATCATTACTGCTAAGAGCAGGTGGAATGGACGCTTCAACAGAGCTATGGCTCTGGGTGAGAAATATGCTGCTCTTGTTTTACAAAGGGTCCTCTTATCCAGCAGTAAGCTATTTTTCCAGACTAGGTGGGATAAACCAGGGAGCCAGCTTTCTATTTTTAAAGTTTATCTTTTTCAAGGGAGTACACAAAGTACTAGTAACTCCATCAAAAAAATTATCAATTTGTTAACTCGGTTAAAGTAATCCTGAAGGTTATTAGAAAGTGGTCAGAGAGGATACGGTTGTGAGGAAATACTTTTATTTCTTCATATTCTATGCCGTATGTCAGGACAAGGTCCAAAGTATGAAGATGAGAACGTGTGGGACTATTCACATTTTGAACAAAGCCTGTCAAATGTAAGGTAGCATTAAATGCTAGATTTAAGCTATTACCTTGAATGTCAGCATGGATGTTAAAATCCCTCATTATGATGACCCTGTCAGAGTGTAAGGACCTTGTGGACGATGGTGAGTTACAAAAAGAAGAGGTTTTGTTGCTTTACAATTTGGATGAGGGAAACTTGGGGTTAAATTTTCAAAATAATAAAAACTAATAATTGGCTTTGAGGTAATCAGTAAGTCAGACTGAAAGATTTTTGCTACTCCTCCCCCTTTGCACAGAATTTGTGCGCATATGAAATTGTAGTTGCCTCATTTATGCTCACATAATCCTCTTGCTGCAGCCATGTTTCTGTGAGGCAACATAAATCTATTTGATAATAATAGATCAAATTAACTAACTGACCTTTTTATTAGAAATACATTATGTTAACTAATAAAGTATCTAATGCTGACATATTCCTGTATTTGGAGAGAACTGATTGATTCTCATGTGTTTAAGTGCTTCAAGCTGACCATGGTAACTATGGCTACGTTCACCCTGCAGGCCTTGATGCTCAATTCCGATTTTTTTTTTGCGTTGCTGATCACATTTCCAAATATATGCGACTTGTATGTGATCTCCTGTGTGAACTGCATTCATACAGCTTAAGTGTCCCGCATGCGCAGCAGAGGACGCGATGACGTCACAGGCCAGCGTGCTGTTTGTTCACGGAAGTAAACATGGATGGTAGTGCTGGAGCGCATCTAGCGATCTTTCCAAACCTTAAGACCTCAATCTTTACAAGATGGTTAAAAAATACTGCTCTCCGCATCATCGTCCGTCATGGTTTGTTCGTTTTCTTGCCATTTCTGCGTAGCAAGACCCAGAAAAGTGACCTTTGTCGGGTATTAATGGCGTTCAGGTCGGATGAATGCGACCTGGCCGTTCAGACACAGGCCGATTTGAAAAGATCGGATTCGTATCGGATTCAGCACCACATAGCCAAGTGGCCTGGGTCGCAATGGAAAAAATCGGATCTGTGTTGTTCAGACGGCCATGTAAATCAGATCCAGGTCGCATATGGGCCAAAACATCAGATTTGGGTCGCTTCAGGCTGCGGTGTGAAGGTAGCCTATGACGACATAAACTAGTTTCCATGAGGTGAACTGTTACCTCTGGACTCTGAATCTTGTCTCTCTTTGTTCCTCCTCTTCAGCTCCTTCACGCCTCCAGCACCAGTTTCTGGTTTTGCCTGATAGGAGTCCGACTCCCTCAGGTCTCCACAGCAACACGATGAATTATGGCACTCTGCCTCGGCGTGCCCCACCTTCCTCCTCCTCCTCCTCCCTGCCTAGGCCCAGAACCGGTCCTCCTACTTCTTTGGGTCCACAGAGTCTCTACTCCACCCTGGTCCTCCCTCGGCGCCCCACTAACACCTCCATCAGCCACCAGGAGGCGTCTCTAACTGGGAGAGGAACCGGCTCTGCTCCTCAGCGCCACCGTGAGTCAGGAGACGTCCCCATTCAGCCCCGCCGCATGGATGTCCCCCCTGAGACCGACTGGCGCCGGGATGTGGAGTACAGGAACAGTCGGCCCAGCTCCTCATGGGACCAGAGGTCCGTTAATCTCCAGCGGACAGACAGGGGCCCCAACAGGGGCCCTCGGCTCTGCTCCCTCTGCCAGCAGCTTCCTGCAGACCTGTCACGTCCTTACTGCCGGACCTGTGCAGCTTATGTGGCCCGATACGGTTCAGGCAGCAGACAGTGAGAGAGACACCAGCAGATCGATGCTGAGATGAAGGCGGTGGGTCCAAACCCGGAGCAAGAATCTGAATCTGAACAGAACCTTCAGATTCAGAACCCAGGCTCAGAAGAACTCAGTCCAAAGTGGACCCTGGTATCAGCATCCAGCAGAACCTCTGTTCTGCTCTGGAGAAGCTGTTTGGGCTTCAGTTCTGCATCAGATGAAGAACGGACTTCTTGCGTACGGTTCTAACAGAACCTTGTATATTTTTGTAGCCTGTTGCTCTGCTTGAGGAGATGATCTCCAAGATTCTGACCTGAATCTAGTCAACTGTTTAGCTTCTCAGATGTTCTCCTTCCAGTTAGATTAGATTCAAAGCAAAGCTGCAGCTCATGTTTAGTCTGACGGTTCTGATTTTAGCCTCAGTTTTCTCCATGTGAAGATCTTTGATCTGCTCCATCTGAAGTATTTAAAGATCCTTTTCTCTTTGGTTTCAGCCCATTTTTTCCTCTTCAGATGAACTCCAAGTTAAAGATCATGTTTTAGATCTGAGAGTTCAGTTTTCATCATGTGCAAGTTTTTATTTCTGCTTATCAGATTTTATTTTGTAATATTTCTGCTTTTTGTTTTACTCCAGCAAACAGAGACAAAATGATTAAAATGTTTTCTGGAAACGTTTGAAGTCTCTTAGATCATAGTTGGACCTGATGTCTCTGGTTTTAGTCAGACCTTCAGATCATCCAGAGCAGGTTTCTGAACTCATCCATAGATCAGAACAACTAAACTCCAGTCATAGCTTAAACCCAAAGTTCTTCTTCTTAACTCAGACTGGATAGTTTGGGCACCTTACCCCTTGCTCACACTGGCTCCGGTGCGGTTACCGAGCCGACGGAGACCGCAACTCCCGCACACCCCCTCTCACACCGCCCTTTTGACTACGGTGCGGTGCGGCTCCGGCAACAGGTCCGGAGATTTAACTCGCGAGAACAGAAGTTCACTTGAGTTCACGTAACTTCACGCGATAACACGGCCCAAATAAGGATATTTGCGAGAGCTTGTTGCGGAGGGCTCCGGCACGCCGCAAGGATAGCTTTCTTGCTGAATTTTCTGCAGCGCCAGAGTGTCTCGGTAACCGCAGCCGGACAGCTCAGCAGCCGGTGAGAGAGGTTTACGTCTTTTTAATGACTTGGAATCACTGCAGCGCCGCACCCACCGCACCGCAACGGTAAGACCGGAGTCGGTGTGAGCCGGGGGTTAGAAACACACAGACAGAGAAACACTTCATTTGTTCTGGTTTGGATTTTTGTTTAAATCAATGTTTCAGGTCATCAAACCAGTTTCAATATTGGATATAGATAATCTGTGTAAATAAAGCAGTTTTCAAATGAAGGTTATATTAGTTAAGAAAAGTTCCAAACCAAAATGAAACTGTAGCCCCATATACGCTACCCTCAGAAACCGATCCGTGCCGAATTCAGAGCGGTTAACCGAACCAAGATCGCTTCCTTACGACCATTTCTACACCACGCTAGCACTGTTCCTCGCTTCCTAGTGGCGATCTACGGTACTACTGCTCTGTAGTGGTAAAAAAGCAAACCAACATGTAATATTCAGGAAGTTTGTGGAGAGTCAGGCGAAGAAGGCAGCCATTGGTGAATTTACTTTCTTTTCTTTTGGGAAGGGGATATGACAAACGATAGTCTAATCAGGGCTTCCAGACGCAGGAAACAACGACAGACGTTGAGGTTTATTACACTGCTGAGCAGAATCATCACTGGAAAACGTGCAGCGCTGTAGGGAAGCTAGGATTTTAATAAATGTCTGAAATTACCTGATTACGGAGGCTGACTGTAAGGAGATGACGCAGTCTGCTCATGTTCTCTTTGTTATCAGAGAAGTGAGCCAGAACTGAACCGCGCCAAGCCCTACTGATGAACTGATGAACTAGTACCATGTTAGCGCGGTTCGGTTGTTTCTGGCACGGTCCAGTTCAGTTGTGCGTAGCATTTACATTCAACAGTTACCTCTGTTACCGTGCTCGGACCGATCTGTGCACGGTTTCAAAAGGGTAGCGTAAATCAGGGTTCCTGCGGGTCCTTAAAAAGTCTTAAAAGGCATTCAATTCTTCAAAATAAAACTAAGGCCTTAATTGGTATTTAAATGTCTTAAATCAGTCTTTCATAGGTCTTAATTTTTGAAACATCATAAATAGGATTATTTTTATCACAATTAATTTTTCATTTTTAGCTTTCTTCCTGTATGGGAAGCTTTTCAAAATGTAAAACATTAGTGCAGTGGTTTATGTTAAAATAAACCTTTGGGTTTAGTTGTCGCAAGCAGGTTTTTCTTGTGTTTCTTGTGAATTTGGTCTTAAATTTTTTTTTTCAAGTGGCATTAAAAAGTCTGGAATTTAACTTGCCTTATGCTGTAGGAACCCTGTCAATGGGGCTTATAAGAAGAAGTTATCAACCTCCTTGTTAAACCATGAATTATGATTAAACTAAACTACAGTTTACAGTTTTACAGATCCCAAAAAGCAACACATGAGCTAAAAACATTCAAAAATAATAGAAAAACAAATTGTCTGCTAACAGTTTCCATCAGTTCCATGCTTTGTGCTAAGCTAGGCTAACAGCTTCCTGGGGCTAAAAATATGGGACTGTTCCTTTAAGCAGGGTAGCAGGGCGCGGCTCTGCGTGAACTATTCACACGTTTCCTGTATCAAAATAAAAGGCCAGAAGAAGAAGCTCTGATCTGGAAATGTTCATGTTTTTCTGTTGTTGTTGTTTCAATGTTTTTGGTTTGACGATGCAGGAGTTTAGAAATAAAATAAAAACTGTCGTTCAGTCTGTCCAAGTTAGCAGCTTTGAAGTAAAGCAGCTTCTTTTAGTCCACAAACTGTCAGCGTCTGCTTTTCTTTGAAAAATCCCTGACCTGAGGTTTTGCTGTAATTTATTTGACAAAAAGCATTAATTCCAAAAATATCTAAAAAATAAGATGGAAATGTGTTACTGTATGATTTTTGACAGTCGATGTTATAGAAAAGAAAAATGTTTAATTGAAAAAAATCCATATTAAAAGATTATTAACGCCGCTGGACTCCTCGCCACATGAGGCGCTATTTAGCTGGAGCAGAACTGCAAACAGGAGAAGGTTCGGCCATGGAGTCCAGAGACTGAACAAAAGACAAAGGAATAGGAATTATGCTGAAGAATCGTATATTATTGTATTAAAAAGACTCATAGATCCTGCTGGGAGATTCATAATAATCAAAGCCTCAATAATGAACCACAATTTAATTTAGTTTAACCTTTATGGTAATAATATAGATGACCCTGATTTCTACAATAATTAGATTCTCTTTATTACAGCTTTCACAGTCATGTGATCTTGGGTTGAAACTTTACTCCTAATCTCGACCAATCCTCAGGTTTAGTTTTGTCCATCCTAACAATAGACTGTTTATACAACATTTGATGTCTGAACCAAACTTAAGAGATGTACAGGCGGTACAGAATCCAACAACGAAAGAATAATCTTGCCACTCAATGATCCATAATAGCTATAGATGCATAGAATACTTCCTAATTTCAAAATCTTTCGCTACCAGAATTAAGAGTTATGCCTATAAAAGCATACTGATCTCTGACCACTCCCTTTGCATGCTTACATTTTCACCATTAAGTGCGTTTAGGCTTAATCCTATTTGGTGATTAAAACCCCACTGGTTGCAAATGCCCAACTTTCTGAAGTATATTGAGATAAATATTGATAACTTCAGCCTTAATCAATCTGAGACTACTGCATCTATTAGATGGGAAACCTTTAAGGCTTTTATACTGGGTCAGATGATAAGCTACACAAAAAATAAAGCTAATAAAACTATCAAATAATGAAGAACAAATAATGGAGACTGAGCTTGAGATAAATCTTAAGGGTTCTAAAAAAAAAAAAAGCAACAGGAATTGTTAATACTGTGAGCAAAATATGACTAAATACTAACAAAACTTTATTAGAGATATTCAGATAGAAACAATCCTGCTATGATCAGGGAGAGAGGACAGGGAAACTACAATAAATGAAATTACAACTGCAAATAAAAACACTACTCATCCTCAATAAATGAATCTCTTTAAAGACTATTACTCAAAATTGTATAAGTCTCAAATGCATATACCCCAAATATCGCTTGGCTTCTTTCTTAATTCTATAAACACCTCCACACTTAGTGAAACAGCTAAATCAGAAGTGGATATGCCATAAATTAAAATCAGGAAAATCAGCTGGTCCAGATGGGACTCCTTTGGTCCTATAACAAATATTTAAAATCAAACTACTGCAGCCCCTTTATAATATTGGAAAATTATACCATTAAAGAATGACCATCTTTGCGAAATGAGATCATAACAGTCCTACCTAATCCTGGGAGATCTCCCACTAGATGCAAATCCCTCTCACCAATCTCACTTAGAAATTCAAATGCCAAAATAATGTCTAAAGTACTAGCAATTAGGCTAAAAAAATGTTAACATCCCCTTCTGTTCCTGATCTGAACTGATTTTTAAATTAAAAAAATATTTTTAATAAACCCTCTGCCTCAGTTATAACTAATTACAGTGGCTGGCTAGCTCAAGTGGTAAGTGGTATGCCAACAGGAGGCGTGGGTTCGTTTCCCAGACGGAGGGAGTGAGCTGCCAGTGGTAATGCTAATGCTAATGCCTGCTTTGCAGGAGTGGTGGCCCAGTGGTAAGGGAAGGTTCTGTGCTTGGAAAGGTCCTGAGTTCCAGCCCCATTCCCATGGACTGTCACTCTGGGTCGTTGCTCTGTACTTGTGAAAGTCTTATTAAAAAAAATATGCTGTCAAAGCTGTCCCCTCTCAACCCTCCTCTTTGTTCTGGGAATTGAACCTTTGGCTATTGTCATAAGGAATAATCAAGACTACATGGTGTCAGAAAAAAAAAATTAAATCTAAAATTGGACTGTTTGCCGATTGATATTATTTTAATGTATTTTAAAATACATTAAATTATTACAATTATTTTAATTCTAAATTGGTCATTCCTCAAACTACTTGAAACTATACA